CTTACAATTTCTGTTCTTCGTTACGAAGATAACAAGTAGTACCTAGACAACTTGTCAATGGACGTCGACTATAAGTTATACTTCGGGGGACAGTAATATACGTAGTGCTATGATGCGATTCTAATAGACATTGTATTGTCCTGAGACGTTTCACAACTAAAAACATTTTCTAAAAACCAGAAGTTAGTGAAATATTGAATCAGAAGTGGTTTGCTACCAAACTTATGGAACAAGTTATATTTTGCTCAAGATTTTCGAAGATGTAGGCGTATTAAAAACCCATAAAAGCGTATGCTAAGTAGTCATTTTTTGTCGAATGAAATTTCTTCAGAAAATATGTTCCCAATGTGTCTGAAATATCATGAGATTATGCTCCAATTTAACTCAAGCCCTCATCTTACCATTTCGATTAACGTTGCGGTTTTTCAACTACGTTATTAGAAAAAAAAATTGTTTGAATTTCCGTAAAATCTATTCTGTTTTGTTGTAGCTGTTGTTTTTGGGCAGCGCTACAGAATTCCTTTAGGCAGCGTACGTCCACCTTTCCGGGTTCTCCTTTACACCGTGCTTGAAATAAGTATTATAACATTATAATGTAATACTCATTGTCAGTCTACGGGTATTTTATATAAATAAGACTTTACGAAATCAATTAGCATTCTAAGATACTTGTAGTAACACTCGTTGATTAACTTTTACAGAAAGCTAACAGAACTCACTTGTCCCACACTGCCTTGGTCCTCATTTCTCGGGCCCTGACAGCAAATTCAGTGACTAACAGTAGTTGTGTTAAACAAGCCATGGCGATAGTTTATACGTTACGATAATTCTCGCAAAACAATGATTTGCTTCACAACCAGAACTTTAGATTGTCTATTTGCATTTTTTAGATACAGTAACAGCTAAAATATCTATTTTTGCATTCTGTTGCAATTGTACAACTGTTGTGGCTACCATTCTAGGGATTACTCACGTATTTCCTTAACAGGAGACAGAAATCCGAGTAAGCCGCTCAACCGAGAAAGGGTTCTCTGCACATCCGTACAGAACAGGTAAATATTCTTGTGTCCCAACCCTACCATAACACCTAACGTAAACTTAAACCGTATTCTTAATCGTAACTCTAACCCTGCCCTAAACCCTAAACATAACCTTTGTTTACCTTAACACCACACTTAACCCAACCATAAACATAACCCTAAACTTACCACAACAGAAACCACAACTTCCTATGTATGATCCCTGGAGTTCAGTGCAAAGGCACTTGTATTGCGTGCGGTTCATATCCTCGGGTCATTTTTAGGGATCAATAGAAGTCAATGTTACCGGAACTAGCAGGACTGGTTCTGTGAATTCAGCGGGGGCTTGGCCATTACGGACTCGAATTCTTCGAACTGTGCTTCAGTGTAGAAGAACTTATGGGGCCTACGCATTTGGTATAAGCATACCGACTCACCAGGTGCCCCTCGACGTCTAGGAGTAAGAAGAGGTGAGATCTGCTTGTCAGTCGAGCTGCGCGCCCTGTACAGTATCAACCGGTGGTAGATAGCAAATTTGCCTTTGACGGAAACTATCCACAAAGAACTATTCCTTTAAAGCTGAACAAGTAGCAGCCTCCGATCATACAACATTGATACTCTTAGGTGCGGCTGGGCACCACTCTGTTAAAGAAGGCACTTATAGCAGGATTGTAACCAGACTAAATTGACTCGTATTTTTATGGGTCTTCAATTGTCATATTGAATAGTCCTAGGCTTTGCGCCAGTCTATCAGATGAGCCAAAGGGATGTTCATTTTCAAATTCAGAATTTAAAAAATCATCTCTTTAAAAAGCTGTCCACACAATTGCTGTCCGGCAAACCACAGTTAAAAAGAGGCTTCGGATGAGTGGGGCTCTGTGAGTCGCACGTACAGCCTTGGCTTTCCGCGCGATATTTATCCAAAAAAACGCACGTTCTTTTGAACAATAGGAACTGTTAATGTTTTAGAGATTGTAAAACTGATCGTATTTTGTACTAAGGAGTGGGAGACAAGCACTTTTTTTTACCTAATCAAGTAAATTTATCTGCAACAGCGAATGTAGTCGGAATGAGTAAATAAATTGGTCACGAGGGCAGGACGTCACTTCGAATGTCATACTAGAATGCTGACTAAATTTTTCGCCAAAAAACAAAACTAGGCACAAAGTTACGGAAGATAAAGACACAGATTTGGTCGAACAAGCAAGCTTCACATCAATTACGATCATTTGCGGGAAGTGAAGAGCCATTAGTCATATTTGATAAGTGTTGGCATGAAAATTGCATCCACGCCCTCTTATACTTCCATAACTTGGCGACATAATAAATAACCGAAATTAGCAGGAAGCAAAAGCAAGTAATACGCCACTTAATTTTCTTTCGCACCCTTGCTTTAAAAATAAGAATAATATTTTCCTTCAAGCTGATATTTACTCCAAGCGAATCGCTTTATGGTTTGTCAAGTTTGGGGCACCTACGTGAATATCAAACGGATCGATGTCGAGGCGGCAACCGACGACAATCGTGCACGAGGAAGTATCTTAAATCTAATACCATTTTTTGAACAGAACCTACTCGGGTAGTAGCACCAAAGCATCTATGTTGAGTAAATTTTGGAAAACTCGCCTCACAACCCTCCAAAATAAATTATGTAGCATGGGAGTTAATAATAAATGCTTTTTGAAGCCAGTACTCGATTATGGGTATTAGCGATAAACCGAAGCACCCCCCACAATGAAAGTTAAATAAAGATCAGTCATAAGGGCAGTCTTGCGCGACGAAATGCGTCATAGTTTGCTACAGACCTCCTAGCGTTTTAACCACTTTTTTTCAAGGTTTATCAGTACTTCAAATGCTAGCGCAAAACAACCCCTAACTAAATTCCAAACGTAAATGAGCGGTACGAAGCGAGAAAGCCACACGCTTAGCAGTTATGCCATGCCAAATTCACGATTACATTTTAAATCAAACGAGGAATATGTAAGACATCTTTATGAAGCAGAAGTCGACTGCAAGTTTACAGACTTATGGACGAAGGTGCAAAAAATAGAACCTCCAGCTCTTTGAAATAAAGGCCAGCAAGCGAAAGATCTTTTGAACCTCCACGCTCCACTGGAAAATTTTACTCGTCAAGAGAACACTCACTCAGAGGAGCCATTCTGATGGCTTTCTTCGTCCAGAAGTATGGAAGCTTTACAAGCTTAAGTAGTCCTTCCATCAGTCCATTGAGGGGCTCAATACAGGCAGCAAAAGGCAGAAGGATAACATAGATTGCGGCAAGAAATCCGGAGACTGGCCAACCGATGAAAAGCATCAGAAGGAACCAAATAATGGACCATAAAAGACCTGGACAGATGCTTCCGGCCATGGTAGCAGTTTAGTGGCAGGCACGCCTGTTGTTACCAGTAGACTAGCACACTGCAGCGTGTGGGATCGTGCTTCCTGACGCATTATAAGGCGAAGCCATGCCTAACACTTAATTGGCTGTTCTCTCTCTCCTTATTGATTGGTTGGCAGACTGCAATGAACATCACTAAGATTAGAAACAGCACGACTTCCGTACGCCAAGAGTTCAGCGTGCAACCGATGGAATAGTCTTCATCGGCTCGACTCTTAAAAGAGGTCCGGCTTTCTCTTCTCAGGGGCACCTTTGCAAGGTCGAGGCCTCTAGCACGCGGCATGTTGGGCGTGCATGAGAGGTGAAGTTGCATACATGTGCGAACAGCGACATTATCTGACCTACGTGCGTCGCAGGGGTCAACAGCGCGCAATGACCTGCTGCCATGAGCGTGTTGGCGAAAATATGAACGGACTAGGAGGTGGTCCGCCTGACTAGCCATATGACAGTGGTATGACTAACAGGTCAGCACATGTTTTTGGCGATAAAGGGTGCAGTAGTTGGTAAGAAACATTCGGTTCTGATCCTGTATTATGGGAACCTGGAACCTTTCAAAACGAGAATCTGGAGTCTTAATAAAAACTGATTTTGGCAGTCATATTTGTTTATGGGTATTTTCACAAAACCCAAGAGACTCCACATTGAAACTTAAAACAAAAATTAGTCATGAATGCAGTGTCGTGTAAAAAATGTCCTGGTAATACGCTCCATACAGCCTAGCCTTTTAAAAATATGTATCAAGCGTTAGCGTTGCTTCCAATGCTAGACCGAAACAAACCCATATATAAGTTAGAAACGAGAATAAAGAATAGGAGGCACGAAGAACACAAAATTATCAATTATGACATTTGGTGAGAGCAGAATTAATTCCTGATATCATGCAACAGCAAAAGGACGTTATGTAAGAAGTCTTTATAAATTAGAAGTGAACAGAAAATTTGCAAACATATGTACAAGAATGCAAAGATTGCTACGGTCAGCAACTGTACATAAATGCCAGCAGTTATAAGATCTTTCTGAAATCCACTCTTCACCAGCAGTCTTCAGTCTTCCTCGTCAAGAGAACACTCGGTAATAGAAGCCATTCTGATGCATTTCATCATCCAGTGGTATGGAAGTCTTACGAACTTAAGCAGGCCCTCCATAAACACATCCATGGGATCGATGCAAGCAGCAAAAGGCAGAAGGAAAACATAGATCCAGGAAAGAAGAAAAGACAGTGGCCAACCGATGCACAGCATCAGAAGAAACCAAATAATGGACCAGATCAGACCTGGACAGACGTCATCCATGTTAGCAGTCCTGTAGTAGAAACTTGTGTTGTTAAAACCAGACTAGCCCACCGCAGCGGTGGAAGCATAACCGGATCACGTTTCCTAACTTACTTATAAGTGGCACCAGATCTGACACTTAATTGGTTGGCATTTTTCGTACTGGTTGGTTGACCGTTTGCAGTGAAAATCACTACAATTGAATTTATCGTCAAGGTCATACGTCAAGAGTTCGTTGGGTAACCCATGGACTCTTTAAACGTCACGATCCAGTTTACATGCTTGCGTCATTGTTGCACTTGTTTCGCGTGCAGTTTAAGACGGTTTTCAAATAAACCTTTCGGGCTGCATTAATACACTCAGCATTCAGCCATAATCGCCTGCACAGCAGACTAACTCAAAAGTTGGTGCAGATGCCCACTCCTACTCATGATTTGTTGCAATATCTCACTGCTACTTGAACCAATCAGCGACTACGTAACTTTGCGCATGATGGTTATTCGGAGTGTGACATATCGGATATGCAGTTTTTGTAGCCTGATAGTTCGATAGGTATTTTCCAGATTGTAGGCAGTGGGAACCATTTGAAGTATCCCAGAACGTATGTTTGTGCAGATGGGAAGATTTATGTGAGACAGAGCTATTAAGTCATGCATGCGGAAATTACAGGAGGAGTTTACACGGTCACAGGCATTTACTACTGGGCAGACAGGCTGCATGACTTCGGAATGCTGATTTTGCTGCTTCTCTCCCATTAATGCGGTATTCTCCTACCTTGAACCCCTTCATTCTGCGTTTGTGTTGCGCTTCACTTCCTTAAGCATTAGGTACATGAAATAACGCCCCATTCTCAATGCAGAACAAGGGTAGATAGTATTGATAAGTTCGGCGCCGAATAATCATTGAAAGGTTGTGCTTCAAATAGTAGAATAGCTGAGGGCAGGACGTTCGAATCAAATACTAACTCATGAGGCTTATGTGCGATGTTACATACCCAAATAGATTACAAATATATGCTACTAGTTTATGCAAGGGCAGTTCAGAGAAGTGTAATTCATCATTTCGGCGCTGAAGTAACATGAGACGTTTATGCTGTGATTGCGTTTATTGCAGGTGCAGGGACGCAAGAAGTTTCATTGTATAGATTCTGGCGCTTAAATGAATATATGGGCTTTCAGTATATAATGTTAAGCCACCACACCTACAACAAAATGCCCTCAATTTTAAAAGTGTATTAAGTCCGTATGTCTTTGTATAGTAGCTGACCTAACTCATGAAAAGTAAGGGGTAAAAATTTGAGGAGGTTATTTAACAAAAATTAAAAGTTGTTTATTTCATTCACTGAAAAGACTTGAGGCACAAAATCCTGTTAGTAGAAAAGACTTCAGTTCAAAATCAATATAGTGAGGGAAAATTTGCTCAACTCTGACCAAACTCGATGTTTTTTTGATATCAAAGGTATTTCCTGTCATAAAATGCTGTGGACCAAAACATCTTGCTTTTGCGTTTTTATTGTTTAAGGACCGCAAACATTTAAATTATACAATATGTGCTAAAAGTCGTCCAAGTTTTATGAGTTTGCAAACGTTTGACCATTTTTTGCGTGTCGGTGTGAACGCATTTAGGAAAACCTAGGAATAATAATGAACAACATTGGGCATATTTAAAACCTTAAAAAAGTATAGGAAGTACTAAGCGTTTGTTAAGAAAAATAAAATTTTCCGATAACCTCCAAGTTCCGGAGACGTAAAAATAGCTGTAAATTTGAAAAATAAATAAACTTAAATATTTTTTAATCTGAAGACTTTACGTAACCACTTTCTTTATATAAAAGAAACGTTTCTTTAGCCAAATATTTTTGTGCAGATTACCATAAATGGATAACAACATATTTAATATCGTCCTTAAAAGTGTGGAATAATTTCCTGCGTTTTCAGTGTCTTCATTTATTCATGCACCAATTTATCTTCTGTTCGACTTTTACATCAAAATCTTTAAAATGAGATATTAATAAAGAGCATTTACCGAAAAATGAGTTTCTGGATATTACTTCCTATGAAGGTCATGTCGATCATATTTAGAAATGCCTTAAAACAGCAAACAGCATTGTCGAGCACACAGAACGTCCGTAAAATGCTCGAATATTGTTATTCCTAAGAGCTATAAGTTACCTTTTAAAAAATAGTGCTTAAATTGGATATTTGACTGACGAATTTTTGTGTATATTACATTGTTCAAAGTAGTTTCACAACGAAATTGGAGAATTTTGACAGTTTACTTAAATTTACCTGAATATAAACGATTCTGTCTGTTCCTTTCCTAAATAACGCATAAGCGGAACGAACAGTTGACCATATGTGGACACTTTGCTTTTCCACCATGAACGCGATTTGGTAAAACAAAATACGATGAAAACAGTTTTTTACCACATTTTGTGCGAAAAAAACTTCACAGAATTGCAAAAATCTTCTTTTAAACTGGAATTTTTCCTTGTTTCCAAAAATAAATGGGATTCCTTAAACCCGAACTTACTTCCAACTGAACAATTTCGGACAATATTTTCCGATTCTGGAAGACATAGGTTTCATACTTTTTTACGTATTTACTTATTTATTTACTTATTTATTTATTTACTTTAATTTCCGTCATACGTTATAGCATAGGAAATTCTTACGATGCAAGTCTACTCCAAATTTCACCAAAATTAATGCCCTTTTCTCCAAATAAACCTAACTAAAGTGGCGATTGTCCTAAGCAAAATGCTTTCCCACGATTAAATCTACTCAATGAATCAAAGTAATGTGACCAAATATATGCAAAAATACCAAGTCAAATATCATCATGAAAGTTGCAAGATTTTTGGATTGCAGAAAATATTGTCTTGCGTTCATGAAATTTTAGGTAAGTATCAATATAAGACAACACATCATTTTCGGGAAAAAAATAAGCGCTGAAATTCTGCTACCTTTTGTGCTATCAAATTCCGTGTGTTGTACCACACGGAAAAAACGTCCGTAAACAAATGTATATATCGACACCTAAGGCTTTTTGTCGTCAAGTTGTATGCAAAAGATGTCCAATTTTTTTTCTGTCTACAGTTCAGTTTGAACGAAGATGAACACTTTAAACCAATCGGGCACTAGATTCTCAGTTTTAGCAAAATCGTAGAATGTATTCTGCCACTATGATGTGTTTTTATAATCTTAGAACGGTAGCTAAAAGTAAATAAATATATTGAAGACTGCTGCAGCATTTGCAGAAAAGGGAGTTCTTTCATTTTTAGCAGACGATTAATTCCTAATACTCAGGGAAGTCAGGAAACCGGGCACACTTTGCCATTTTTATTT